AAGGGTGGCATCAGGAACACACATGGAAGAATGGGATTTGTTAGGATTGGGAAACACCTCTTCCATTGAGATGGGAATGGAAGAGTGAAGGATGAACACCAATGCAGAGAAGTTTATAGGTGGGGGCTGAATGGTAAAGACCAGGGAGTGGAACAGTTCTTATATCATAACCCCAGTTTTACCCCACGAAAATTTTTATATGGAGTAGTGAAAGTCTGAAATAGCAGGTGAAAGTAAAAATTGAAAGAAATGACTAAGATAAAGAATTCCTCATGAGACTGACGCTAGGGGGCAATGAATATTTCATGCTCTTCATCGCTATTCTTATATCTCATTTCCAATCCATCAGGAAATTCTACAACTTTATCTTCAAAATATACCCCAAGTCCAACCACTTTTCTCCACCTACACTGCCACCACCCTAGTTTGAACCATCACCATCTCTCTTTGATTACTGTAATAGCTTTTCCCACTCCATTCCACCCCACCCCTACCCCATTCTGGCCTCTTTCAAGATTTTCTGTCATTGGTTTTCAGCAGTTTAAATTATATACCTAAGTATAGAGTTTTTGGTATTTATCCTACTTAGTGTTCTCTGAGATTCCTGGATCTGTGGTTTGGTGTCTGCTATTAACTTCAGAAAATTATCAGCCATTATCACTTCAAATATTTATTCTGTTCTTTTCTCTCTTTCTTCTCCTTCTGGTATTCCCATTATGCATATGTCACAGCTTCTTAATTATCCGACAGTTCTTGGGTATTCTACTTTTTTTAATTCTTTTTTTCTCTTTGCATTTCAGTTTGAGAAGTTTCTACTGAGATATTTTTCAGCTCAGATTCTTTCCTCAGCCATGTTCAGTCTACTAATAAGCGCATCAAGGACATTCTTCACTCTTGTCACAGTGTTTTGATTTATAGCATTTCATTTTGATTCTTTCTTAGAGTTTTCACCTCTCTGCTAACATTACCTATCTATTCTTGTATATTGTCCACTGTTTCCATTAAAATCTTTAGCATATTAATCATGCTTATTTTAAATTTCCTGTCTGAGAATTCCAAAGTCTCTGCCACATTTGAGTCTGGTTCTGGTGCTTTGTCTCTTCAGACTGTATTTTCCCTGCCTTTTAGCATGCTTTATAATTTTTTACATGATGTATCAGATAAAAGGAGTGTGAGGTTTTATGTTTATCTGGCTAGGAGTTAGGTGCTTAGTGTTTACTGTAGTTGTGGTGCCAACAGCTATAATTTTCCCTAGTGACCTTGGTTTTGTTCCCTTGTTGGGAGTTTTCCTGGAGCCTCCTTAAATAGAGTCTGAGTCTTGCAGCTCTCACAGCTGCGATCCACTATTATTATACTGCAGCCCTGTTGATTTAGTAGTAAGGTATTGAAAGTGTGAGAGTGCCCCTAAGAATGTGACTCGGAATTTTTTCTTTTTTTAAAACTCCCAAGCAGGTTCATTCTCAGCTTATAGCAATTTGTCAATCACCATTTAGGTGTTCCTACCAGTTATTGACTCCAGTGGTTTCTGCTCCAGCTAAGTTAATCTGGACTTTTATTTCTCTGCATAACAGGAGCACATTGGTAAGGAAAAAGTTTGGCTGAAGTGTGTTCAAGATAGAATACGGAAGAAATATTGGAAACAGCATTTCCTTTGAGGAGTTTTGCTGTGATTGGGAGTAGAGAAAAGAAAAATAGCTGAAGGAAGATATGGGGCAAATATTTTTTGTTTGTTTTGGAGATTAAGGAAATCAGAGCATATTTGTTGATGGGAATGATCCAATGGAAAGCCAAAAATTCTAATGCAGGAGAGAAATGAAGAGTTTCTGAAGCAAAGTCCTTAAGTAGGCAAGAAGAAATGAGATGGGAGCCAATGTACAAGTTATTATTATCATTAACAATATTAGTGTTACTTTTTTACTATTATTCCTTTCAGTACAAATGTTCAAATGATCTTTGGCTTGCCTGATTCATGTGAATCTGTTTCTACTGTTCCATGCAGAATTTTCTAGCCGTTTGCCAACCACCATCATAACGAGCCTTTCACTTCGATAAATCACAGTTTGGAGGCCAGGATGGAGTCTTAATCCTACCAGAGTCCCTCAACATTTGGGATAAAGTTTTTAAAGGGAGGGGAGCCTAGAATCTATGATAATAGCTAATACTTTTATAGCACTTATGTGCCAAGCACTGTGGTAAATACATACATATATATGTATATGTATTTATCATATACATAAATTGGGTACATGTGTATACACAACCTCATTGGGTTATTGTGATAAAAAATGAGTTGATATATATAACTCATCTTATTATCACAGTAACCCACTGAGGTATATGCTCTGTTATTCTCATTTTACAGATGGAGAAACTGAAATACACAGCTAGTAAATGGGGGAGCCAAGAGATATGAACCCAAAGTCTTGGGCTCTGGAGTCTTTATACTTAACCCCACCATAAATCTTTTCCTTTTCTGAGCAAGAATTCATTTAAGGCACTGATGATAATGTCAAGGTTCACTGAGCTTAGTTCAGTCTCTGAAGAGAGGAACACAAGCTTAGTTCCTCATTACAGTGTCCTGAGAAATCTTCATAAATCTCAGAAAGACCTCGCAGATTAATCTCATTTTCTTATGGCTCATTATTTATGAATTTGTCTTTGTCCATAAATAGGTAAAGTATAATATGCCTTTTTCAAGATAAAGAATCTGACTTTATTTTACAGTAGATTTACGCTATTTCTATGAACACCCCAACCTGCCTTTTAAAAATATTATTTACTACAGTATTACATTCAGAAAAGTATCATAAACACACAGTTAGATAAATATTCACACAGTGAGCAAGCCCATGTAACTAGTACCTAGATCAAGAACCAGAATATTATTAGCACCCCAGTGTCCCCTTCTTGCCAACTCTCAGTCACTATCCTCCCGAAGGTAATTATTATTAGTTTTTTTTTTATGTTTCTGAACTTAAATCCAAACTATTAGATTGGTATAAAAGTAATTGTGGTTTTTTTCCATTGCTTTTAAAAGCAAAACCACAATTATGTTTGCATCAATCTAATACTTTTAAATTAACCCCTACTTCCATTAACAATCTATACATTTCTTGCCTGAGTTTTTCCAACTCATTCAAAGATGAAAGCTAAAATTGCATCATGTCCTGCTCACCTAAATGACCACATTTTGTTCTGAGTTTTTATTTGAACTACTTTTATGTCATAAAATAAATAATAACAGTAGCCACACTTATGGAGAACCTACTATGTGCCAGGTAAGTGTTTTACTTGTCTAATCCCCATGAACAACCCTAAGAGGGTGATATTATTATTTTAAATTCTACTTTTCAAAACAGGATACTAAAGTGCAGAGAGATTAGGTAACTTTCCCAAGGCCACACAGTTAGCAAGTGGCAGAATTAAGGTAATTTTTTTCTCCTTTTGAAATACGTTTGGCCATATGTAGATCAGACAAATATATCCTAGTTCATCTAGATGCACTCTTGTTATTATATTATTAGTTTTAATGAATTATTTAAGTACACATATCTATTATATCTGATTATACTTTAATTGCAATCCACACTGAATTCCCCCTTATACAATCAATTCAACATTTAGAATTCATTGTTAACCTTCTTGGGTTTAACTGTGTCCTGTTTCATTCATCAGATTAACAGGTTGCTAGCTACTGTTCCCAATGTGTAGAATGTAGAATATTTACTTTATATCCCTAGAATTTTTTTCAAAGGCATTTTGGTTGATACATATTATCGTCCCTTTGATTAACATGGTTTGTCAGAATACTTTTGGCTGCCAGTAAGAGAACACCCAACTAAACATATTTTAAACAAAGATTTATTAATAAATCTCACATAACAAGAAGTCTTAGGTTAGGCAGTCCCAGGCTTGATTCATTAGTTCACTGAGATTATCAAGGACCCTATTTTTCCCCTCATCTTTCCGCTCTGGAACCTCCAGTTTATTAGGATGATTCTTCTCAGGGTTGCAAGACGACTGCAGCCATTCCAAGCATCACATCATGACAAAGCTGTATGCAAAGCAGGAAGAAAGGGGGCTACAAAGGAAGGCTGCCCTTTCCTTTTTTAGAGAAGAAACTTTCTGAGAAGCCCCAGCAAACTTCCCCTCATGTGTTATTGGCTAGAATTGTTCCATGTGGCCACTCCTAGCTGTTAGATGGGCTGAGATAACAATAATTAACACTCCCAGCCTCTGTTGGGAGAAGAAAGGTTTTTATTGGGCAATATGTTGTTAGATAGGTAACCACCATTATGGGCTTCACATAGATAATTTACAGCTAAGCTTAATGTCTTAGAAAGGATATAGATGAAGAAAGGCGATATTAACTACACCCATAGTATATTGGATGTGTAAGCTGAAATGTTGCCTTCCTACAACTTGTCAGTCTGATAGTCTTGATGCTACTGTATTTCTGAAGTCTCACCATATGGTAGGACTTCCTAAGTGTGTCACAGTGAATTTGTTCCATATTGGCTGGAAGTTCCAGGAAAATAGAATTTGGCTTAATAGAAAGAAATATATTTCTGACAGAGTTGGTTGTTTCCAGAAGGTCTGAAACACATATCACCAAAATGTTTAAGTAGAGTGCTTCAGTTTATAATAATAACAATAAAAATTACAATAATGATGTATAAATTCTGAATCAAGAGATACTCAGCCTCCTGTCAAGAACCAATGGATTTTTGTAGAGGGAATTCATGTAGAACTTAGATAAAGAATTAGACTTCATCTATGATTTATAACCCTTTGTATCTTATTTCTTACTAAATACCCAAATAATTACCTGTCTGTTACCATAATAAAAACAAATAAACAAAAATGCCTGTTTTCCAAAAATGTGCATGTATATTTTCATAATATTGTACTAATATTAGGTTAGTGCAAAAGTAATTTCTGTTTTGCCATTAAAAATAATTGCAAAAGCCGCCATTACTTTGGCACCAACCTAATAATATTAAGTACATACTTTATTGCTATGGTATTACAAAACAAGGTGATCATTTTTAAAAAATTGAAGTAGAGTTGTTGAGAGCAAACAAATTATACCAGGTCAAGGCAAGCTGGGTAGATAAAAAATTATCTGTATTAACAGGTGGCATGAAGGTTCAACCTGAAACTTCCATGAAACTGCAATTTTATTAGTGGCAAGAAAGGAAGAAGGGTGAATAAAGTACAATAATAGACAAATTCCAGCAGAAATACTTACATAAAAATAAATATACATGCCAGTAGGTGGGGAGAAGAGTGGATTCTGAGACACACAGGGGCTACCAGGTTAATGATAGCTTGTCAAGGTGACTTAGATGGAAAATATATGGCAGATATGATTAGGTGAACTGGCATCCTGACAAATGTGGATCTGAGGAGAAAAAGAGAGAGAATATCCTAATGAAAGCCTGGTATCCCAACTGGATTACATCTGTATTTGCTTCCTTGCCTGACACTTCCTTTTCTGTCTTCTCTTTATTTTCTCCTCCTGAAAACTCTCCTTATTTTTGTTTCTCTCTTTCTGCCCTCTTCCACTTTCATTTCTTTTTCTTATCTTTTCTTCATCTCTCCTCTTTGCCAGTGATACCCAATGATGTCCTCAGATGATTGTTCAGCATTCCTGGTGGCTGTAAGGTCACAGATCTCTGGTTATGAGCAGGGTTGGAAAATGCATTAGTTGCAATATGTTTCAAGCAAAGATTTAACTTTGGCAAATAATAAAACATGAATCTTAGTACAAAGATGAACAAATAGTTCTTGAAAATAATAAATGGCTATGACTAAACTCAAGCAGTATACATCTCATGCACAATTCATGCATGTTCCATATACAGGAAGTATAGATATGGGGAAGTGACAAGTGTACAACCAAAAAGTTAACTAGTAATTTATACATACTGTAAGGAACAAGTTCAAAATCCATGGGCCCTTATCTCCTATATAAGCCATTCACAATCTCTATCTGCTGATTGCCTCTCATAATTGCAGCAGTCTTTAAATGTAGTTGTCAGGACTGCCTTCTTCTGTCTTACGCTCATGATGGTGGATCACATGTTTATACTGATTTGAAGTCTGTTCATCTCTTGGTGTTTTCTCACTGTACATTGTGAACAAAGTAAGAAAAATTTTAATTGCCTTATTTCTATAGGTTAAAGATATAAATAATTAAGTATGCTTTAATTAGAGAGGGAATCAATGCTTTGTAGTGTCTAAGGCTAAGGAACTAGACAGTATTACAAGCAAAGGTTCTGTTGTTTAAAATTCACAAACCTGAAATTATGTTTTTTTAAAAGGTGATTATTTTTAGAAGAGATAAATAATTATTTTCTCTTAAAGATAACATGCTTGTCTCCGATCTCTGAGATAACTATGAAAAATTCTGTGGACCAGTAACTAAAATTTTTACTTGTGTCAATATTAGTAACTGTTTTAGGCTACTTATATTTAACACTATGTTTCTTAGAATATCTAAAGGTTGTACTATATTTCAATCTGCAATGTGTTCAATACAAATGTGTACTTATTTGGTATAATAAAAACCATGTGATCTATGTAAAAGGAAAGATATGGCCAAAGAAATAAGTGGTATAATCATACCTGTCTATGAAACAGCATAAAATCTTTGCCAAGCCAAGAAGTACAGCTTTTTTTTTCTAAATATTGGCTATTGAAAACAGATGTGACTTAAATATCTCTAAACAGCACCATTTGACATACTAATTCTGGTGGGCACTTTTGGAATGTTGGGTAGTTGGATGTTCAGTGGAGCATTCTGGCCCACTGAACTTGTTTCCATATTTAAAGGTGTAAGTGAAACTTTTAAAGTACTCTACTATGTTTTTACCTAACAACTGCGTGCCCTTTCACTCCTTTTAGCAATATGTTTATGTAGTAGAATCAGTGTGTCATATTTTACATAAGGAAAAAATACGCTCTACAAAGGGCAAACAGCTTCCTTTTGGATTCTATGTACCTAATCTCATCAAAGAAATTTCCCCTTCTTGCCTATCACCTCCATCCCCAAACATACTTAGATGCTCAGAGACCTGGGATTCAGACAATCTGAACTCTGACTCCATGGAATCTCTTCTTTGTGTTTAGGCTGGAGGAAGGTTAAAATAGTTTTCCTTTACTTGGAATTGCAGTTTCTGTGCATGTTTATAGGTCCTGTGATTTGACTCATAAGAAACGTTCCTACTGAGTTTCAGACTTTAGAAAGCTTTTTCTCAGTTCAAATTGTGGAGGAGATACTGCAGCCATATCCCAGGCAAAATGACTCTCCACGGTTTTCTTGGAATTGTCAAAACATCATTAAGAGTTGGCACTATCTGGGTGCAGTGGCATGTGCCTGTAATCCCAGCTACTTGGGAGACTGAGATGGGAAGGTCTCTTGAGCTCAGAAGTTCAAGACCAGCCTGGGCAACACAGTGAGACCCAGTGTCTTCAAAATATGAAATAATAATAATAATAAAAGAGCCAAGTGTGGTGGAGCACAACTATAATCCCAGGTATTTGGGGGGCTGAGGTGGGAGGATCACTTGAGACTGGGAGGTAGATGCTGCATGAGCCATGATTGCACCATTGCAATCCAGCCTGGGTGACGGAGCTAGGCCTTGTCTCAAAAAAAAAAAAAAAAAAAAAAAAGAGAGAGAGAGAGAGAGAGATGTGGCTGAGGTGCCTGCTACCCCTAGTGGCCTACTAGTAGGGTGACTATTTAATCTATCTGTCTAAATTAGTGCACATTGGGAGTGGAGAGAACATTATTAATAATTATTCTGGGACAACAGGCATAAACTGGAAATGTCCTAGCAACCCAGTATTTATGTTGACCCTATCTTTGGGTACTGTGCATCTTGTCAAATTTACTAATTATGGTTATTTTTATGTCTGCTTTTCTCTTGTATATTGTAAGCTATTTAAAAGTGTAGATCTTTGTTTTATCCATGATTACATATTAAATGCCTGGAATAGTACTTGGCACATACTAGGTACCCAATAAATCTTGTTGAATGAGTGAAATATTATTGTATAATAGGCCATTTTTTTGTGATTCATTCCTAGGCTAAACGAGAAATATACTCCTGTGAAAGTCCTTTTCCAGGAAGAAATCTATGAGTATGAATAAGATATATTTGAAAAATATACTTTGACCTCCAATAAATGACAGTGTGTTACATATTAAAAGCCACATCCTTTTAAGTAGAGTACCACCTATTTGAAGCTGGTAGATGCATTTTCTCAGAGAATCCTAGACAATCATAGCTATGAAAGATTATAATAATCACCTAACCAATCTTTTCATGTCAGCTATGACAGGATGCCTTAATATAGTAGTCCCCCTTATTTGCAGTTTCACTTTCTGTTGTTTCAGTTACCTGTGGTACCATGATCTGAGAATACTACATACGGTAAGATATTTTGTAAGAGACCACATTCACATAACTTTTATTACAGCATATTCTTATAATTACTCTATTTTGCCACTTGTTATTCCTGTTAATCTCTTACTATGTCCAATTTATAAATTAACAGGATGACTACAGCCAATGATAATTTATTGTCCAGTTAAAAATAATTAAGAGTATAATTAGGTTATTGGTAACACAAAGAAAGGATAAATGCTTGAGGTGATGGACACCCCATTTACCCTGATATGATGAGTATGCATTGCATGCCTGTATCAGAATAGCTCATGTACCCTATAAATACATACAGCTACTATGTGCCCACAAAAATTAAAAATAGAAAAATAGACTTTATCATATGTATGTATGTATAGGAAAAATCATAGTGCATATAGGGTTCAGTACTATCTGCAATTTCAAGTATCCACTAGGAGTCCTGGAATGTATAACCTGTGAATAAGTGGGGACTACTGTGTATTGGAATAGCACATACTAGGAGTATCTTACTTAGGATCTGACACTTACTGTTTGATGGGGTAACCTGATAACAATTCTGCAGAAGGCAATGAAGCACTCTCTAAAGATACTATATGAACAATCCTTGCCAGTAGTCACTCCTATTGGCAAATTGGGGAAAGTCATATTCTCCCTCTCCATAAATGCATCGACATTTCTATGTGATGTATGCCATCTCAGTTTTCAGTATATGCCTCAGAGAACCACATTCACATTATTTGGCAGGGTCTCAAGGTTTTATAAAAACACTAGAAGTTCATATATGAGTCATTTTTTTCTATAAAATAGAGGAGGAAAATCTGGAATCATGGCAAAGATGGGGGCAGGTAGATTTTGCTGGCAGTCTTTTCTCATCTTCTCATGTTTCTTCTTGCCTTTGCTACAGAGTGGCCAAGTTAGTCTGTTAACCTACATTCATTGCTGTAGGAGTAGGTGGGGGTAAACACTCAGATTGCAAGTATGGAACTGGGAGCCTAGGCGGCTTTGACTTCTTCAGAGCAGTGATAGAACTAGTGTAGCCAAAGCAAATACAGGCAAAATGCCGATAATTTAAAAAATAGTCTTGAGACAGCCATTGTGGATGAGCTTTATTTTTTTTCTCATTATACGTGCCACATCTTCATTACCTAATGATTGGGAAGTCTTGACAGCCTTCTGCATGCTGACTCAGTGTGTTCAAACCTGTAGGCTTTAGAGTGTTTGCTCAAGTGGAAAATGGGACAACATAAAACTCTTGAAGTCCTTAAGGAGAAGTGTCATGGATGAGTAACAATGAAATGTTTGACTCATTCAAGGGAGACCGTTTGTTTTTTCCTGATATGTGAGCTTTTTCTATTTCTCTCTGTGTAGATGTCCAAATTTCAGAAGTCAGTGGAAAAATTATTGGTATATGGGTACCAAATGTGACCAACTCTGGAGTACTCTGGATCTGATTTTAGTCGCAGCATTGCCTGGAATACAATTGGCTTTAATAGTTAGTGTAACAATCCAGACTATTTGCTACTGTAAAAAGAAGTCAAAGAAGAATATAGCTGACCACTAGTAAGAAATTTCTAAATACCTTGAGAATGATGGCAAATCTCTTGTGAGATCAGCAAATGAATCCAGAAATCATGAATATAATTTGTCATGCATATTACATACAGGTGGTATGTTCTCTTTCACATTCATCATCATTGTAATCAAATTCTAACAAAAGTCAGATTAACACTGCCACACCAGACATATTTTGTTCAGGATTTGGATAAAGCAAAAATTGGAAAGCCACTTCTCCAGACAGAAGCCAAGTGTAATTAACAAAATAACTGTCCTACTTCAGTGTTTTCCTTCCTACCAAGGGTCAGTATTTGTGTGCACCCCCATATACTGTCTTAATAGTGTGTGTTGGTCAGGGGCGGGACGGTGTACAATTACCTCCCACTCACTCCCTAATCCCAGCAACAATGCCAGATAAATGGAAAGAGGAATTCAATAGACTTGTTCTAATCTGAGTCTGCCTTGGGTAAATTTCTTCACCTCATTGGGCTTCATGTTCCTAATCTATAATATAGAAATTGTTATAATCAGATCTACCCACCTCACAGAGATGGTGAAATGATACTTATAGCAGCAATTGTTTATTGAGAGTTTATTAGGTATGTCAGGCTGAATTATAAATGTTTCACACCTATCAACTCATTTAATACTCACCACCCTATAAAGTCCTGATGAGATTACTGAGGCACAAAGAGATCAAATAACTTAGCCAAGGTTACAGGCCTAACTCTGAACCCAGGCAGTCTGGCCACTAGACCTAAACTCTTAATTCCAGGCTATGCTAATGGAATCTAATGAGATAAAATAGTGCTTAGAAAGCTGTAAAGTCATGCTATATTCCCTTCATTTATTTGTTTAAAAGCAAACTGTATCCTTTATACTTTGCACTGTCTCTGAATGAGAGGTATGAGGGGTAAATAACAGTACAGTAAAATCTCATAAATTTTATATCAGTAAATTCGAATTAACATCTACATTAAATTATAATTCCCCAGTGAAAAGATAATGTTACCCTCTATGCAGTATAAAGGTAGTTTGAAATATTACATTAAATTGGAAGTGGCTGATACTGTGAGCTGCATACTCCTAACAATGGGCTTATAAATAGTAACAAAATCAGCAATTTGAACAGCCTCAGATA